GAACTTCTGGAGGACATGGTCTGGAGCCACAGTGGATGCCTGCTCACCAGAGGACATTAAGAAGAATCGAACATTGAAACTCGGTCCAGCAATGGCAGCTAAGCTGCCCTTGAAGATATTCATAGAGTTGTGCCTCACAGAAAGGTTTGAGGATGAATTCCTAACCCACTTGTTCCTGTGGGTCAGACAGAGAAGAGACAGGCTGCACCTGTGTTGCAATAGGCTGAAGATCTTTGGGAAACCCACCCGTCATACCAGGAAGGTCCTGAGACTGCTGCAGTTGGACTCTGTCCAGAGGGTGGAAGTGCACTGCGCCTGGGCGCCCTCCACCTTGGCTGCTTATGCTCCTTTCATGGGTCAGATGAGGAACCTGAGGAAGCTGCTTGTCTCCCAGGTCCTCCTACCTGCCCACACCTCCCCAGAGGAGCAGGAGCGGCTGCTTGCCCAGCTCACCTCGCAGTTCCTCAGGATGAACTGCCTGCAGACGTTCTGTGTGGATGCTGTCCTCCTTCTCGACGGCCACCTGGAAAAGGTGCTGAGGTGAGTAAGATGGGGGTGAGAGGGTGAGCTTCCTCTGCAGACGAGTATCAGTAAATATGAAAGGGCACCTACTGTGCCAGCTACTGACACTCTCATGGTAAACAAGTCACTGGAAGGTGAATAACCCATCATCTGTTCTATTGTATCCTGAAGCTCGATCTCCTAACCTGTGTTAGAGAAAAGGGGTAAACCAGGTCTATGGTCTGGGAAGTGCCACCATACTGGGAAGCCAGCTGATGGGGACAGAAGCTAGTGATGTGGGTGTGAGGTTCCTTCCCTGGGAGGCCTGTCCAGCGTCAGGGGTACAACACAGGGTAGAGGTGAGGGCTTTGAAGGAGAGGAAGCCCCCACACCTGTACCTGTCCAACAAGGAAGCTCTGTGTCCTCCATCTGGGAGCACAGGAGCTCGCTTCTAATAACCACATGGGAAGGCAGGTCTGAGCTCTCCTGATGACTCAGGTATTATGAGTGAAGAGCAGGGAGTAAGACCTTGCTGAGGGGACAGGGAGTGAGCCCTGCAGGGGTTAACCCAGTGTGTTTTGCCACATCTTTCCTGGATTTGTCTTTCATACATGACTCTTCCTGACTTCCTATGGCTATATATGTGACTTTCTGCTTGTCATTGAGGATGACATTCATAGAGATGGAGGACCCACCTGGTCACACAAGTAGTGGTGAAAGTTTCAGGATGAGATGGAGTGACCTGAAAGAGCAGATTCTACAAAATGTCAACCATGTTCATATGGCCACAGTGACCTTGGGTTTGGGCCAATTTATCTTCTTCCTCAGAACTAACTGCCTGGTTCTTCCTTAGGCACCTGAAGATGCCCCTGAAGGCCCTCGCAATAACCAACTGCCCGCTGTCAGATTCAGACTGGAATTTTCTTTCCCGATGCCCAAACACCAGCCAGCTCAGACACCTAGATCTAAAGGGCATCAAACTGACCAATTTTAGTCTGGAGCCCCTCAAAATTCTTCTGGACACTGTTGCAGCCACTCTGAAGAGCCTAGACTTGGAAGCCTGTGAGATCCTGGACTCCCAGCTCCAAGCCATCCTGCCTGCGCTGAGCCGCTGCTCCCGGCTCAGGGCCTTGTGCTTTTTCCAGAATCACATCTCCATGTCGGTCCTCAGGGACCTGCTGTGCCACACTGCCAGGCTGAGCCAGTTGAGCCTAGAGCTATACCCTGCTCCTCTGGAGAGCTATGATGCCCAGGGTGCCATCCACCCCAGGAGATGTTCCCAACTCTGTGCTGAGCTCACAGCAATACTGAAGGACTTTAGGCAGCCAAAGGTCCTTATTTTCCGTACTCTCTCATGTCCTAAATGTGGCTGCATGTTTCTCTACAACCAGGGCCTCATTTACTGTTCCTGTTCAACAGCTGAATAGTTGGGTGTATATAAAAAGCTGCCCTCTATGCAATTGGATGTATAACCAGGATGTAGAGGGATCCTGAAGGAAACTCAGAGCCCAGCATTTCAGACACTGCCTGAAGTGTGGATGTGGAAAGGAATCAGATGCTGGGGGCTACATTGGAAGGAAGCCCCTGAAGATTGAACCTTCTGTATAGAGCCATATGTGTCTGAATAGAGTCATAACTAGGGACCTGGACTTTTACAATGGGATATATGCTTCATGCACAAGAAGAAACTATTTTGTTTCATGGATGGTCCATAAATAAATAGTCTGAAATGAACAGAATCTCAAAATTAGTCCTCTGACATTTTCCATGATGGTCTTACCTAGTTTTCTGATTTTGACAATGGAATAGTCCAGGGGCTGATGGAGAAATACCACCAAGTACTTGGTAATCAATGAAGTTCATTACCAGGAACTCAAAGCATCAAATGAAACTCAGGTCATTATCTGTGGCTACACTGTGTCATAATCCATGTAGGGAAACACAGAGGCCTGGAACATTCTAAGTAGACAGTAAAATTTCAAAAAGGCCTTTTTAGGCAATCTCAGTGCCACCCAGACCCTCAAGGCTTACCCATCCTTGTGGGTCTCCACATAGACCTACAAACCTGGCGTCTTGGCCTTTGGATGCAATGAGAATAATATAGGGTCTCTGGGACTTACAAAACCTTTCCTGTCATCCTGCTACCAAGTCTTTTCTGAAATAATGTAGTCATGGCCAATGAAACCATCCAAATTAGGTTTCATCAAAATAGTAGAATTATATAGGTAGATAACACTTGCAAATGTTTCTAAACTAAACTTAATAAATTACCACCTTCTGGTGGGGGAGAAGGCTGCTCATAACTGACAGATTTTCCCCTAACACTTCCCACCTCTCCCTAATCGGGGACACAAGGTTTTTAATCTGCAGATGATCAGAGGATGAGTGAGGATGAGGTGGCTATGGGAAAATGGGTGGCCCTACCTGTGCTGCCTGGTACTAGACCAAGATCCCCTAAATGATGATTTCTGCTGAGGACTCAGGCTGGTGGGGTTATGCAGTAACCTTAGCCTTAGCTTCCCATCCAAGGAGGTCCACCCAATCTTCTTTTGAGTTATCCTAAAGCTGCCTGTGTATGTGTTCTAATTTGAGCCTGGAGGCTTCTTCATACACAGAGAACTAGAACCCAGTTGGATATGTAAGCAAACTGTAGCTCACTCTTGAACAGGTAGCAGAGTCCAGGTCCTACACAGCCAGCCCATCTGTCACCCACATAGCAATCTGTGTGCCTCACCCCTCTTTATGACACTTCCTTTCCTCTGGCTTTACATCTAACTTGCATGTGTGGCAGGGGGCAAGTTCTGAACGGCATTCATTCTGCTCTGCTGCTGGATTCTTCGATCAAATAAAGGCAAGGGAGATCTGCAGTATGAGATGTGTCATCACTGGTTGTTTTAAGGGTTTTCATTACCAAAAAGCAACTTGAAGATATTCTGGTGTGTCCAGACTCATTGAATTGTGAGCTCCATGTGTCCCCACACAATCCTGGGGATAAAGCATCCAGATTGCTCTTTGAATTCCTCATCTTTTGACTCTAGGTTCATTTGTGCTGTGAGAAAGCTCATAACTGTAGGATGTCATGATAAACAGGACTGGGTGTGTAAGGGTAGCCAGGTCAGAAGGGGACTGGGTTCCACTCCCTGGAGTACTAATGAAAGGTGCATATTCCTTTGTGCATCTGCATCAAAAGAGTCTAGATCTCATTCTGGAACACTGTCCAATTTCACCTGTACAATCTAGGAACCCAGAACCTATGCTTTTCTACAAAAATGAGTGAACGTATAAAAATTGACTGAGGGCCTGTTGATATAACTCAGTGGCAGAGCAATTGCCTAGCATGTGGAAGGACCTGGGTTCCATGCCCAGAACCACAAAAGTACATAAACAAATAAGTGAATAAATAAATCCAATATTGATGTGACTCCAGGGGGAAGTTTTAATTTGAAAAAAAAAATTGTCTATCTGTGAGGAGAGCCAGAGCCCATATGAACACAATAAAATACATTCTTTAATTTGTATTTATACTTTATACTTTTAATTCCTATACACTGGCATGTAAAATTGATGTCTTTAAAGATTCTTTTCCAAAATAAACTGAAAACCTGGTATGAGGGTGAAAGGAAAGCAAGGAATGAAAGACAGACAAACAAGAAATGAAAGACAGAGACCAGACATAGATACACGTGAGTTTATTTTTCAGACTTGACAAGTGAAGGCCATCTCTCTGTAGGAGAGAGAGGCAGAACAGGCTTGAGTTCTGGGACTTTTATGGGGGAAGTTCAGGAATCAGAGCTCGGTGGGCCTTAATCAGGTGGTTAAGGGTTTGGTTGGTATGAGGGAGTGGTGAGCCTTTCTCAGAAATGCCCTTGGGCAGGAAAGTGAAATGTTTTCCTTAAAATGGCAGCTGTCATTAAGATGGCCATCCAGGTGCTAAGCAAGAACCTTATAAGTATTTAAAAGAAAAGACAAAAATTGGAAGAGAGTTGTTAGAGACACAGCAGAGACTCCTAAATCCTACCCATGAGAAGGGAGGGAGAAGCATTCTTTGGTTCCCCTACAAGGTAAAGGGTGTTTTGAGGGGATTGTCTCAGCAAGCTGGCTTGAGAAGAATAAGCATGCAGAGGGAATGTCTGTCATTAGCCCTTCATGATTAAGTGTTTTTGCAGTGCTTAAAATTAGTCTAGAATTGATTGCTGTGAATTGATTATGTCTATTGCAGTGCTAGCATTAAGGATTGTCATTTTCTTGATTAAGAACCTATAGAGGTCTGAGATTGTGGCTCAGTGGTAGAACGCTCACCTAGCACGGGAGGGACATGGGTTCAATCCTCAGCACCACATAAAAATAAAGGCATGATGTTGTGTCCATCTACACCTAAAAAATAAATATTTAAAAAAGAACCTATGGAGTGAAATTGTATTTAATAATTTGAGTGAATACAACTCTAAAAGGGGCAGAAGCATGTGGACATTCTTTATTTCTCTCCCTGGACTGCATACATTGCAATTTTGTCTCCTTGTGACACATGCTTTGAGAAGGGGCTTCTAAATCCCAAAACTGAGGTTCTGAAAGTGACCTTTAAGGTGTATAATGAGAGAGATGAGAGGAACTGAAATATGAGATATTAAATGCTTGCTCAAGCTATCTGTCCCTGGTATCACTAGCCCATGGGATGGTCCCTCAGGACCACTCAGACTGTGTTTTAAATGTGGTCAGATGGGTCACTGGGTTTGTATATGCCCCAAGCCTCATAATTTCTGGATTTTTGTCCTAAATGTCATCAAGAGGGACACTGGGCTGTTCACATTCCCCAAGCACATGGGGGCTCCCCAGACATCTGGCCCTTCAGTTCCTCTTTCCAACTCTTAGGACTGGCTGCAGAGGACTGAAAAGATCCAGGTCCCAACCACTACAATCACTCCATGGAAAAACAGGGTAACACTGCACATGTCAGGTAGGCCGGTCTCCCACCTCCTAGACACCAGCAACATATTCAGTCCTCAATGTGTTCTGGGGGCCGACTACCAACCCTTACTGTCACCTAGCCTTGTTTGTGCTTGTGGTTCTCTAATTTTTACTCATTCCTTTTTAATCATTCCACAGTGTCCTGTTCCCCTTATGGGAAGGGAAATCCTCACAAAGTTGGGGGCTATGCTCTCCTTCTCCCCTCATAGACGCTTCCATGCAGACTCACCTGCTGCTCCTCTGACCCTCACCCTTACCTTAGGACCATCTCCTATTCTGTTGGCCAATGCCTTCCAATGACCCACTGCTGAGGTGGACATTCCCAGTCTTTCTATTACCTCACACTATGAGCCCGTTCACATCTGTCTCAAAGCCTCCTCCATTTTCTGCCCAATCACAACACCTGCTCTTCCTCCTTGCTGATGCTGTCCCTCTCTTTGCAGAGCATACTTGTTTCCAAAAACTATTCTCACCACTCTGGGGATTTAAGCTGCTTTGGACCGTGACCTGAGGGCCAGAACAATGACCACACACCTTTTCCCATTCACCTAGGGCTCTTCTTCTTTATCCACACACTGGTTCCCTTGGGGAAGTAATTCTACCCTTCTCCTCCCCTCCTTCTCACAAGGCTACCCCCTAGAGATGGCAGTGACAAGTCTCCTCTTGAGACACAAAAGTTAACTTAGATCTTGGCCCAGCACCAAGATTCTTGACCTTCCCATTCCTTCCCCTTGACAACTTCACTCTGAGTCTTGGTTTACAGATGGCTCCCCCTTCCTTCAGGAGGGAATTCACAGAACAGAGTAGGCAATAGTCTCTCTCTAGCCTCAGTTGTGTAAGAGCCTCCACTCCCAATATCAGCAGGCTGAACTTTTTTCCCTCATCAGAGCCTTCACTTTGGAAAAGGGAGCCTCCCTCATTGTCTACTGTCCCTTGAATTACACTTACATTTGGCTAAACTCCTTCCTTGGTTCTTCCTCTGTCACAGGCCCTCCCAAAGAAGCCACTAAACATCTCCCCTTTGAGCTTCTATATGGAGAGCCCACCTCCCTGCTCAGCTCAAAACCCTTGATTCTCCACTACCCCTTTCTCCTCATCTTTTCTGTCCCCTTCTTGCATACATTGAGAACCTCTTTTGGCAACACAGGGATGTTGTTCTGGAAAATCTAATTCTGCCTCTTTTCTTTCTCCCTACTCTGTCTCCTGGTGACCTAATACTTTTACCACCCTCAAAAAGCCTGCCTCCTCCTCTGAATTGTCTGCAAAATGGACTGGACCCTATCAGGTCATTCTTACCATTTGTTTGGTGGCCCACCTTGAGGGTATTCAATATTGAGTTTCTAACCCCCATTTAAAAGAGTCCTCTCTGTGTCTCTCCAAGGCCAGAATCCCCAATCTTCCTTTTGTCTCTGAGGACCACAAGAACACTGCAGAACCATGAGTGCTATCCTTCCCTTTTTCA